GGGAAGGTATGATCAATCTACTTATCCCTATGCAAACTTTTCAATGTGTGTTTGCAAATCGTGTTTCGGTATTTCGTACAAAAAATTGAACATAAATCTTGAATACTAAAAATTAAAAAAAAATGATTTTTTTCCGGAAAGCGTTCAAATTTTATGTTATTATCTGAAAAATGACTATGTTGATGAAAATTAACACAATCCTAATAGTTAGAGACGGCGGAACGCAGAATCCGTGATTCGTATTCTGGAATTCTTGAAAAAAATTTGTCCGGATAGTTTTTCTTGGATTCTAGACTGTGTACCTCAAAACCGTTCTTCTGATAGTTGTTTTTTTTCGGAAAATAAGTATATTCAGGAAAAATCCATTTTGAAAATTATTCCAAAAAGCCGTGCGGCTAGCCTGGGCCGGCCGCGGCTTTTTGTATTCAGGCCTCCGAGGCCGCTGCTTTTTCAGGCCTAAACAAAGCCGGCCGTGACACAGCCCTGCTGGAAACTGCTAAAATAATCCTAAAACAACATATTTTGACAGTTTGTACAAAAATTGATTCTTCTATTCAAGTTTTAGAAAAAATTATTTTCAGACATTTTCATCAGGGTTTTTGGAATAAATCTCGAATAACTTGGCATCTGGGTAAGTTTTCGAGCTGAAATTGGTGGGAACTATTGAAAGAATAATCACAATCATGATGCCAGTGTTTCAAGGCTTTTTGAGCTCTTGGAACTTGAAATTCAGGTCGAGATATGAACTGAAAATATTTACCCAAATTTTGAAATCTGTTTAAAATATTTTAAAGATGTTCTGAGTAGTTCAAATCGCTATCAACGTTGTTATTTTGTACTGAAAATTAAATTTCAATCGTAAAATCAAGTATTTTACAAAAATCAGAATCACCTAATTTCAAGGTTCATTTTTCAAATTTCAGATGAGCTTCAATCACAAACAAAGGCTCAGAATACTATAACAATAGCCAGTACATAAATTAGACGACTGCAAAAATATTTTTTATCATTTTCAGCTCGAAATCTTATCCAAAAGCCAACTATTCAAGATTTATTCCAAAAACCCAAAAAAAATGATGAAAATGTCTGAAAATATTTTAATCTAAAACTGGATCGGAAGAATCTATTTTTGTATTAACTGTCAAAATAGGTTGTTTTAGGAGTATTTTAACATCTTCCAACAAAAAAGTTCAGTTTTGCTCTTTAATAACCGTGAGATTTTTCATTTTCCAGGGTGTCGTATAGGTTTTGACCGCTTGCCAAATCGCTTTTCGGATGGTACGCGGTCAAGAAAAACGGTAAAGATGTGAAACGTTGTCTCCTGTGGTTATTTTCGATTGTGAATTGAATGGCGTCAACCGTTTCTTAATATCTTTTCCAGTTTTTTTCTGTGCGCCCAAAATATAGGTGTGTCGTATAGATATTGACCGCACTGTATAATGAGGCAATCTATGGATCAAATTATGATCAGGTGAAGCCAAGAACCTTGGGGGTACATGAGAGAGTAAAGACAAGGTAAAGAGGGGTAGCAGTGGCACACTGGGACCCGGTGGCCCACCTGGAATACCTGGAAGCTCCGCCCCTTGTCTATGCGATTCTCTCCCAAGATATTCTTCCCTCATCCATTCATTCTTACTTCCTTCCTTCCTGCCTTCAACTCTCCCTCTCAATCTTAATTGAGATTTACTAGTTTATGCACTTGTTTCCTTTTTTCTTCCTTTTATTCTTTCTGTATTATAACCTAACTAAACGTTAGTTTTCAGATATGGCTACATATTTCGATCCCAATTTAATAAGCGTGTTCGATGGACACAATACGAATCACAAGTCATTAGGAATGCTGACTGAGATGGGTATCGGCGGCACGTGCGACTACGGAAATACGTATACGTAAGTATCAAAGATGGGGCAGGCGTTTCAGAAAAAAATTACTATAGGTCAGATCTCAACGCTAGATTTTCTAGTCACAATAAGCAACTAACTATTAGAAACTGAGCTTGAATAGACCAGACCACCCGTGGGAAATTTTTTCTGCCTTTTAATCATTTTATTCTAGGAGATCACATTGTGTTAAACATTTGCAGCAACCTACCGATTTACTGTAGAACCTGCATTAGAAGGTCCGGCCCTTGTATTTTTCGTGGGGTCTCTAGGGGGCACCTCAATTAGAGCATGCATTTGTATTTTTGTGGGGTTTCTGACGAGGGAACTTCTATTAGAGAGACATAAATGTTCATCGAATTTTTAAAACATCTACTTCTTACTAAGGAAACTTTTCTGTGTGTCTGTGTGTCTGTGTGTCTCGGACATTTACTTGAATAACTCACTAGGGAATGGTCAGAACTCATACCAGGATCAAGATATACTAGTGGATTCTCCGAAAAGGGGAGTGCCTCCTGATTCCAGAACAGTTTTCAAATTTTGCTAAATGGCCTGGAGAGCCGAGATATCTGTGCTCCAAAATCAAGCGATAAACTATGTAAATCCCGAGTTTTCGATCAACTGCTTCCTCTCCCCTTAAATTCCCCTCCAAACTCCGCATTCTTATCCGTCGCCGTTGACAACCAAGAAATGAGGGCCGGTGGCCGAGTGGTGTGTGCGCTTGGCTGGGAGTCTGCTTTTGCGGGTTCGAACCCTCTTCGTTTTAAAATCTTTGTTTTTATGTTTTATGGTCATTTAATGATTTTTTTAAAACTTTTTTTCATGATTTTTCACCCTTTCTGTATACATAGTAAGCCATCCTGACAATTTTACGAAATTTTGTTTTTTTTTCGAAATTTCGATTTTTTCTGATCAAATCCATGCGAAAAAAAAGAGAGAACATTTTTTTATGAATAAATGTTTGAAAATGTGTAAAATGGATTAAAAATGCCATATTCTAAGTGTTTTGTGCTTGCTGGGGAAAAGTTTTTATTTTTCAAGCCACCGTAATACCGTAATACCGAGAGGCCCACCCGACATGCGTCGTTTGAGCTCAATTATCTCGGTTGCTTCAAAAGGTATCAAAACAATTCCAACTGATAAAATGTTTATCATATTATAATAATCATTCAGCAGTTGACCACTCTTTGATAGCTTCCAAGTAACCGAGATAATTGAGCTCAAACTTCACGTATCAGACGAGCACCTCGAGTTTCTAATTCACGGTACCTCAATCCTCCAACAACAAAATTTCCAGAGAAGATCCGAACTCTCGACCTAGCTTGTCAACCCATTCTACAATTTTTTAAACATTTATTGATTAAAAATGTCCTCTCTTTTTTTCTTATGGATTTGTTCAGAAAAATCGAAATTTCGACAAAAAAACGAAATTCCGTAAAAATGTCAGGATGGCTTACTATGTATACAGAAAGGTGAAAAAGCCCACAAATAATTTTTAAAAAATCATTAAATGACCATAAAACACAAAAACAAAGATTTTAAAACGAAGACGGTTCGAACCCGCAAAAGCAGATTCCCAGCCAAGCACACACACCACTCGGCCACCGGCCCACATTTCCTGGTAGTCAACGGCGACGGATAAGAATGCGGAGTTTGGAGGGGAATTTAAGGGGAGAGGAAGCAGCTGATCGAAAACTCGGAAGCGAGATTTACATAGTTTATCGCTTGATATTGGAGCACAGATATCTCGGCTCTCTGGGCCATTTAGCAAAATTTGAAAACTGTTCTGGAATCAGGAGGCACTCCCCTTTTCGTAGAATCCACTAGTATATCTCGATCCTAGTATGAGTTCTGACCATTCCCTAGTCAAAGGAATATGGGACTCCTATAGTGGTGTGTGATGCGTAGTCATGAACTACCGAGCGCTTCATGTCTACGGTGTCCTGGGCTTTCTAGCTAATAGGGAACCTATAGAGTTGAAAATCGAAAATTTCAAAATTATGCTCAAACTCAATAAAACTTCATGAAATTTTGCAAAGCGGTTTTTTGGTCTATCTATGTGTTGCCTACATAAAATTGAGACAAATCTTCAAAACTGAAAATTTTTGAAAATTTCGTTCTTTTTTGTATATCACTAAAATTTCGATCCTGTGGACTATTGGAAATGGGTCATAGTAATGTTTTTTGAATACAAGGTTCTTAAGAGTTAAGCAGAAAGTTTCAGAACATTCCAGAAAATTCTAAAAAATTTCAGAAAATTCTAGAAAATTCCAGTACATTCTAGATAATTGCAGAAAGTTCCAGAACATTCTAGGAATTTCCAGAACGTTCTAGAACATGCTAGAAAATTCCAGAAAATTTCGAAAAATTACAGAAAATTCAAGAAAGGTCCAGAACATTCTAGAAAATTCCAGAACATTCTAGAAAGTCCCAGAACACTCTCGAAAATTCCAGAAAGTTCCAGAACATTCTAGGAATTTCTAGAACATTTTAGAACATGCTAGAAAATTCCAGAAAGTTCTAGAAAATTTCAAAAAATTACAAAAAATTCAAGAAAGTTTCAGAACATTATAGAAAATTTCAGAAGACACTCGAACATTCTAGAGAATTCCAGAAAGTTACAGAACATTCTAGAAAGTTCCAGAACATTCTAGATAATTCCAGAACATTCTAGAAAGTTCCAGAACATTCTAGAAAATTACAAAAAGTTCTAGAAAAATCCAGAAAACTCAAGAAAACTCTAGAATCCAGAAAGGGCTAGAAAGTTCCAGAAAGGACTAGAAAATGCCAGAAATTTCGAGAACATTCCAGAAAACTCCAAAAGACCAAAAACATTCATGAAAGCTCTAAAAAAGTTCAAGAATATTCTAAAAAATTCCAGGAGTGTCTCGAACTTTCTCAAATTTTAGCTTTCTCTACTAAAATATTGCAACATTTTCTCTATACTTTCATTGTGATCTAGAACCAAAGGCTTAGAAATAATGATGTATGTGGGTAATTCAAAATTTCAGGAATTCAGAAAGTCCGAGTATTTAAAAAACTCGGAAATGCAGAAATTCGAAAACTAAGGATTTTAGGTTAGAAATTCGAGACTTTAGAAAATCAAAACATTTTATTCTCTTTTCAAGAAACATGTATTCTGTCATGTAGAAACTCGGAAATTCAGAAAATCGGATATCTTTTTCTTAAAAAACCAACAAGATTTAACAGAAGTTATCAGAAAAACGAAAAAAAGTACGTCTGTTTTATCAGAGGTGGGCATCCAATAGATATGGGCTTCTATTGGAGAAATCACGGTATCTAGAAATTCCCATATTAGTAACATCAAAAATTTAAAAATCGAAATACTTGGAAGTTTCGGGCACTCGGAAAAGTGGAAAATCTAGACATTAGAAATTCAAGTGTAAGATACAGTGAACGAAAGCCAGGGGGTTGAGCCCCGATAGGGGGCTCAAACCGACTGGTTTTCTACTATTGTAGGATTAAAGAAACTGACACCTGAAAATTTTCTCGGGCAACCTTCGTGTCGATTTACGAAGCATCGCTCCGAAAACGGATACTGTAAATAACAAATTAATTTATGTGAATTTGGTGGGATTTTCTGAACAAAAGTTTGATTTCTTAGTATAAAAATGATCGCTAGCATCCCTAGAATCCATTTTTCAGCGAAAAAATGAATTTAAATGGGGTACTGACTCGAACGAGCCGAAAGTCTGAAATATTACGTTTTCGCCGCGCTTTTTCGTAAATCAAAAAAAGCGACGTATTTCAAATTCTTAGCTCCCAGTTTTTTCAATTCGACAATGAACATCTATCCACTGCTTTTTTTACAACAAACACTAAAAAACGAAACAAGCGAAAGTTAAGAGCACTCCAACTAGAAAGGGTAATTCAAATAAAAGCGCTCTTCAATTTTACGGTATCTGGGTAGATATAGATGCCGACTATCTGGCTATTTTAATTTTGTTCACAAATTCACATTCTTAATTCCAGAAGCCTCCAGTCAAAAACTCCAAAGTCTCCAGTGCCATTTCAAGGTGACAGCAATTTTGTATGGGATGAAGTTCCTGGTTCTCAACAGTAAGTACTAGTCACCAAAGACTTCAATATCAGAAAAAGTCAATTTCACAATCAAATAATCTCTTTTCAGACCAAAAAGAATGAGCACTGGCAGCAAGGAACACAAGGATCAGTTCAGCAGTAAGCCATGTCAAAATAGTTCCAATGGCAGCAACCATCAGTACCATGAGGACCCAGTTATGAATACTCCGGATGTAGAGGCCAATTATCATCAGGAAAATCGTGATCCATACTTTGACACCGATGAAATCAATCCTAAGTACAAACATGATCCAGTGTTGACTAAAGTCGCTCTTGGCACCGACCTGTACAATCAGCAGCTAATCCAAAAAAGCCGCGATGTCAATGACGACTACAGCAATGCTCAGTACGATCAACAAACACTTCAAAACAGCACCAATAATGGCTCCAGCGATGATTTGCACATTCCTGATTCATTAATCCAAAATTATGTTCATATGAACTACAAAAATGCTCCGTACAACCATCAACAACTTCACAGTAGCCCCATTCGTATGTACAATCAAGGCTACTCCAATACCGACAACAGCAATGATCAGTACACTAATCAACCCATCAATCCGTACAAACGTGTGCAATTCCAAAACAGCAACGATTTCAATGCCAACAGTGAACGTCGCCAACCATCCCATTCCGTCGAATCAATTATCAATAAGCCAGATCGCAGAAAACAAAAGCCTTCAATGGATGAAATGGCTCCTGTTAAACAAAAGAAAGATTATTGGAAAAAGATAGATGATGCGTACAAAAGAAGCAAGGGTTTTCATGGTGAGTCATAGAGGAAAATAACTAACAACTCTAATTTTTTCAATTTCAGGCACTCAATCGACTTCATCCTCTGACTCCCAAGCGTCGTCCTCATCTCCTGACTTCGAAAAATTCAAATATTATGAAGGACTTCTGGCTGCTCCTCTTGCCAATGGCGCTGCGCTCGATACTAAAGTTCTATGCAACGCTGTTTTTCAAGAACTCGAAACTCGAAAAATTCCACAAACAATTTTCGCCACAAGAGTCGCTAATCGCGTTCAAGGCACTCTTTCCGAGCTTATCAGAAAACCAAAGCCGTGGGATTGTGTCAAATCTGGTCGTGGTGTATACGTCCGCCTTTTCAATTGGTACCAATTGCCAGAGGACCAACGAATGGAAATTGTTGATAAGAAAATCAATTGGCATGTTCCGGAGAAAAAACAAACTGCTGGAAAGAGGCTAGTTTAATATTTAGATGTTCAAAAATTTCAGCTAACTCTTATATTTTTCAGAAAACGTGCGACTAAAGGTCCCGCTCCAAAGAAGCCACGCACAGAGTTCACTCCAGTTCAAAAAGGTGCTCTACAAACCATCTTCGAAGAGAATCCAAAGCCATCAGCTGACGTTATGGCTCATATTGCTCAAACCCTTGAATTGGACAATGACAGCGTTGCAAATTTCTTTCAAAACACTCGCAAACGAACCAATGATCAAATGAAACGTAATCGTCATCCACAGAACAATTTCCAAGATTACCAAGAAGATCAACAAGGAGAATATTATTAATCGATCAGATTGTCAATTTTAATTTTTTCTTGTAATGTTAACGATGATGAATCAAACTCTCTCTTCTTTTTTTAAACCTAATATTCTTTCTTTCATGTACACATTCACTGAATTGTACCGCTTGTACTATCATAATCAATATCGCGTATCTCATCTCAAATCCTGATTATTTTAAATCATCTGTTGATGACTCAAAAATCTCTCTTCTTTTTTAAACTTAAATTTCTTTCGTTCATGTACATATTCACTGAATTGTACCGCTTGTACTGTCATAATCAATATCGCGTATCTCGTCAAGTTTCATCCAATTGGATATTAATAAAATGATTCATTTAAAAATATTCGATTTAAAAATTTATTTAAAAAAAAGAGTTGTGAGTCTGATAACACAGAAGTCTAAAAAAGAAGGGTTAAAAACTAGTTCAATGGGATCATGAGGTATGGGGATAGTTTGTTATGGGGTTAACTAGATCATCAGGTCATCGGGCTAATGGCATGGGGACATGGGGCTGATGACCTAGTGGCCCCATGAAACTTGATTGATTCAAAAAATTTCAGTCTTGAAATTTTTATTTGAGTAGATCAAAATTTTAAAATTTTAACCAACTTTGACCAATTACTATTTTGACCAATAACCCGCTCATTCTTCAAACGAACTGCCAATATTTTTCTCTTGTTCTGTCATTTTTCATTAATTTTTTTCAAATTTATAGTTCTTCAAAGTACATCAAACATAATTTTACAGACAAAAATGTATCAAAGTTGGCGAGAAGAGGATTTAGAAGCGGCGATGACGTCATCAAGTGGTTATCCACGAGATTTTTTTGGGACAGACGCGTTATGGGATACTGGAAGTTTCGGAATGTAAGTATGGATTTTTACGCGATACAGTATCAGGAAATTGTTGATAAGAGAATCAATTGGCATGTTCCGGAGAAAAAACAGACTGCTGGAAAGAGGCTAGTTTAATATTTAGATGTTCAAAAATTTCAGCTAACTCTTATATTTTTCAGAAAACGTGCGACTAAAGGTCCCGCTCCAAAGAAGCCACGCACTGAGTTCCATCCAGTTACAAAGAATGCTCTGAAAACCATCACCAGGTTTTTGAAAAATCCAAAAAATGGGGTAATGGGGTTCACAAGTCATGGGGTCATGGGGTTCACAACTCGTCGGGTCATCGGTTCATCGGGATAGCAAGTCATCGGGATAGCAGGTGATCGGGTGATCGGGTCATGGGTTTCACAAGTCATCGGTCACCAGGTCATCAGATCATCGGCTTATAGAGTTAATGACCTAGTGACCCCATGAAATTGTTTTATTTTGAATTTAAAAATGTCAGTCCTAAAATTTTTTTTTTGGTAGATCAAATGTTTGAAATTTTGACCAACTTCTCCATTTTATCCCGCACATTCTTCAAACAAACATTGACAAATTTTTCTTATGTTTTGTAATTCGTTTTCTATTTTTTTCCTGAATTTCTAGTTTATCAAAAATACATTAAAAAACGATTTTACAGGCAAAAAATGTATCAAAATTGGCGAGAAAAGGATTCAGAAGCGTTGATGACGTCATCAAGCCGTTATCCACCAGATTTTGAAGTGTGAGTCTGAAAATGAATATGACAGAGTTTGAAAAACTCGGTCACTCGAATTCTAGGACATTCTCAGACCTTCCAGATCTCCTACCAGAAACTCCGTTAGCCCATATGCTCCAATCATTCACCAGTATTCCACGTATGAGCATCAGTACTTGGTAAGAGCCACGTGGCATTACTTCCAGCTTCGAAATTGATGATTTCAGAGCCAAAATGACTCATGGACAGCTTTCTCGTCGGCTACAAACTACAATTCAGATGTTCCCAATTTCAAACAGAATCCAGCTCCATATTAGCAGGATTCTTCGGAACAGAAGATCCCATTCCGACCCACTAATTCAATGCCATGTGGTACGGAACGTATCTCTGAAATACTTGAAGAAGCTAGAAGGGAACTCATGGTTTCTAATGAAACAGTGGTACTCATTTTCAGCGATTCTTGAGAAAAATCAATAATTTTAGGGTCAGGGATACAAACAGTCAGCCAGATCAGGATTTTTTAGATAACAAGAAACATCTGAAATGGGATCACCTGGCAGTGAAACGAGATTTGTTGGGACACTTCCTGATGATGTGTCGAGTACGAAGGCTAAGAAGAAAGGCAACAAAACAGAGAGTAAGTATTCAGATAATTATCCTTGAAAGTCTTAAAAATAATATTTGCCAGAAGTCCAGCAAACTCCCTCTGCCGTCGACACCCGGACAATTGAAAAATATCAGGGGTTTGCAAAAGTAATGCGCGTTTTTGATGCAACTTCCTTTTATTGTAAAACCAAAACAAGAGATCATCAATCAATAAGATATTCTCCATTATTGTTCATTACTGGCTGCCAACGTGTGCGCAATTCAGCGATGCCTTTCTTGAAGAACTCCTCTGGCTGTGACTCGAAATAGTCCGCCACCCAAATTTGCACTTCTTCACCGCTTTCGAATTTTTTCTCGGCCAGATGATGTTGCATGGATCGGAATAGGTGATAGTCCGATGGTGCCAAATCGGGACTATATGGCGGATGAGGCAGCACTTCCCAGCCCAGCTCCTGAGTTTTCTGCTGAATGATTTTTGCAGTGTGTAGTCGAGCGTTGTCATGGAGCAAGGGTGTTGTCGAAGTGTCCACGCCTTGGCGTTTGAGAGCTTGGTCCACACGGTCCAGCTGATCTTTGTAAAGGTCCGCATTCACCGTTTGACCAGGTCTCAGAAGTTCAAAATGCACGAGACCTCGTGTGTTCCACCAGACACATATCATCACCTTCTTTCCGTGGATGTCCGGTTTTGGAGTCGGTTTCGGGGTCTCGCCAGGACTCAGCCACTGTTTTTTTCTCCCATTATTGTCCCACTGAATCCATTTCTCATCCGATGTCAAAATCGAATCGAAGAAACCACGATTTTTGGAGCGGCGCATCAGAATATTGGCAACTTCAACACGTCTTTCCTTGTTCGAATCGGAAAGCTCATGAGGGACCCATTTTCCACATCTGTTTGTCTTTCCGATTGCATGCAAATGTCTGGAAATTGTGGAAAAATCGCAGTCGAACTGCTCCGAGAGACTGAGAGTAGTTTGGCAAGGATCCACTTCAACTGCTGCTCTGAAGGCATCGTTGTCCACCTGCTCTGGACGACCAGGGCGCGATTCATCTTGCAATCTTTCATCTCCGCTCCTGAAGCGCAGCGGCGACACTGACTTTCAGATATAGCTTCTTCACCGAATACAGGAGAAAGTGAGCGGTGATCTTCGGCAGCCGATTTTCCTTCCTTAAATTGGTGCCACAAAAATGCTCGAAGGCGAAATTTTTGGTCGGACATCTTCTAGAATGTTTTTTTTTCATAGAAATCAAATTGAAACAGCAATATAATATAACAAAATGAAGCCCAAGAACGCGCTTTTTAAAACAAAAAAAAATTGAACACAAACCGTTTGTTTTGGGTGAGATACAAAACACCAAACTTGACGCGCATTACTTTTGCAAACATCTGATACAACGATCTTCTGAATACACCTCTTCCCAATGATTTGATTTTGGGCACCAAACAGCTTTGCGACGCGGTTGTGAAAGAAATGGAAATCCACGAAATTTCTCAAAGCATTCTTGGCAGGCGAGTGGTCAATCGAAGTCAGGGAACTTTATCGGTGATATTGAACAAACCGGAGCCATGGTCCTTCATCGGTCCAGGACGTCAGGCGTTTGTTCGTCTTTACAATTGGATCAATTTACCGGAGAAAAAACGACTGGAGATTGTGGATAAGAATACTATTTGGGATGTTCCGGAGAAGAAGGAGAATAAGTGTGATAATAGAAAAAGGTTTGGATTTTATTCGTCCCTGCCGATGCGTGGTCCCTCAGCAAGTCCTTCATTATTTTGCTGCTTTCAAAGTGGCCTAGAAAACACATCATGTGAATATCAAATTATTTCTAGGCGATAAAAACTTGGTGGCTTTGAAAACTCAACTTGCAAAGGTTAGCCCACCATAATACATGGTCTAGAAAATACATAAGCAACATGTTAGATCGATTCTGGACTACGGTCGCCTTGGAAAAGCATGTTGAGAAAGTTAGGCCACTCTCGAAAACTTGATGCTGGTCCTGAATAACGCCTTCTTTTTAGAAAATCCACCGACGAGCCCTCTACTACAAAACGAGCCCGAACCGAGTTCACAAATGTGCAAAGGCAGGTACTTGAAGCTCTTTACGAACAGACGGATCGCCCGACTGCCGATGAAATCCAGACGATTGCTGAAAAACTGGATCTAGACGAGACTACTGTATCAAACTATTTCCAAAACACCCGCACTCGGAACAAGGCAAAAGCTGGTATTGAAAAAGGACATTAAGATCTTCCTTGCTTCCATTTTTCTTCATTTTAATTATCCTAAAATTCTGAAAACCTAGAATTATTATATTCTGAAAATGTTGCTCATGATTTTCCTTTCCCTATTCAGAAAAAAGATGTATGATTTTGATAGAAACATAGCAAATAGATCGAGGCCTAATTTTTCGGATTTTCAGTTGAATGTGAAAATCGAAAAATGAAAATAATTGTAAAGTTTTTCATAATCAGTAGATCAAAAATCTTTTTGATCAAATCTTTGGTCACCTTTTGAATACTCCCCCGCCCAATTATTTTAATCCATTTTCGGTTCGAAACTTCTTGCTTTGCTCTTTTTTTTTGCTAAAAATATAACGTTTCAGACTGAAAATATTTCGAAATTGGCAAGGAGACGATTCTAGAGTGATGACGTCATCAAATGCGTTTCCCGTATACATGAATCGAATTAATTGCAGCTTATGGAACACTGGAAGTTCTGAAATGTGAGTTTGGGTTTTCATGGGATACGGTAGAAGGCCTAGGCTGTGCAAATTGCAGCCGTGGCACAGCCTTGGCCCATTATCACAGTTCACTTTGAGCCAATTTATCTCGGTTTCTGTCACAGATGGGAACAAGTCGTCAACTGATAAATTGTTTATCATATTGTCATCAACATTTTATCAGTTAAAAATTTCTTCCTATCTATAACAGGAACCGAGATAAATTTAGTCAAAGTGGATTCTAGAAATTTTGTATTTTTCAGAACACCCATCAGCAGTTTCACAACTCCATATGTTCCAATACCAGTCCAGTACCCCAATAACAACGGAATACTGTACCTGGTAAACTGACATATATTATTCTTATTCTTGAATGTAGTTTTTTAATTTTAGAACCAGTATGTCCCATGGAGTGCACATGGAATGGATACGGAAAAATATTTCAACGAAAATTTAGAGATCTACAAGAAGCCGACTACACTGAAAAATAAGTCAGTAGTTCCTGCATCCACTCGATTCCAATCCACCAATAGTCCTGATAGTTTCTGGTATTCCAACCCTTACGAAGCTTGGAATGATAATCCGATAATCGTGGAACCAACTGAACCCGTGGACATTAGCATTCATCAATCAGACAAGCCAATACCCGAAAATATAGATACAGAAGTTCTGAGGAAAAATAACTCCATTGACCATATTACGAATGAACTAGATGCACCATTATCCGGAAGTATGGATTCAAAAGAATTATCGGAGAAGCTTAGCCAAGAGATTCAAAATTATGATATCTGTCGTCAAAATTTTGCGAAAAAGGTGTTGAATAAGGGCCCACAGGTCCTACGTAAAATGTTGAAGGATCCGAAACCCTGGAATAAGCTTCAATCTGCTCGTGTGAATAAAATTCGGATTTATAATTGGTTGAATTTGCCGTTGAAGAAGAGATTGGGTATTTTGGATATGAAATTGGCGAAAAAGAAACAAGAAAAAACAGTTTCTGACATTCCTGAAACTAGTAAAGTGGACCCATTTAATACCCCATTACCAGAATATGTCAATTTAAACACAAAACAGCTTGCTGAGCGATTGATCCAAGAGATGAACACTCATAAAATTTCACGAGCGAAATTCGCGAAGAATATTTTGAATACCTCTCAAATGGCTCTATCCTATCTGTTGAATAAGCCAAAGTCTTGGGAAAAAATCAAGGACCGATCTGAAAATTACGTTAGGATCTATAATTGGTTGAATTTGCCAGTAAAAGCGAGAATGGAATATTTTAAAGAGGAAAATAAAAATTGTTCAAGGAAGAGGTTGGTTAGAATATTACAGCATTCGCTCTGATTTTGAGCACTTTATCTCGGTTCCTATGCAAGGTATCAAAAATCTGTTAACTAATAAAATATTAGTGTTATTGTGATGAATAATTTATCAGTTGACGGATTTCCGATATCCCTCATGGGAACCAAGATAATTGAGCTCAAACTTGACATTGTCATTTTACATTAACCGATCCCT